TTTACCCTTATCTTAGTATAAATTCATTAATTTTCCATAATTTTAATAATTCCTGGATAACTATATAACCTAAATTATAGTGGTTTTTCCCTAATCAGATTTGGTTTAGTATGGGCAGCTGGGGATAGAGGGATGTAGAATTGCTTGATATATTTCATCATGGATAAACGTTTTTGAGAACAGGACTGTATCAGTAATGACAGGTAGGGAGCGATACGATATAAGGTAAGGACAGGCCGATACAGGACAGCACGCCCCAGATGCATACTTTCTGTTCCATACTTGGGTCTTCTTTCCAGCCTTCAGAACTGAGGTAACCCTATCAGCAACCTTTTGATCTGCACATGTTGCTATTAAAGGCCAGGTCAGTCCAACATAAATCTAAATTAATACTAGATGGGGAGGGTATTTCTAGCCTGGACCTGAACAACGGCTAAATCATGAAGCTCTTAATCTCTGAAAGAAGATAGATTAAATATTCCTCTACATATAGCCATGGAACTGTGAATAAAACACATTTTCACTAAGAGGAAGATATACAGTTTAATGACAGCTATCAAGTATGAGGTGAAGAAAATTGCTAAGCTCTTCTCTATGTGTGAAAGTTTGTCCTGGCTGAATGGGATGTTGAGGCAGAAGAAGATAGGCAGCGGAGGGGGGAGTGAGCTACATGAAAAATCTCACCCCAGTTCACTGATCTTAGGATGTTCCAAGAGCAGTTCTGCCAGACTTCAAAAACCCTTGGTGTGGCTACTTTTAGCAACATTGATTGAGAGGAGCTGGTGAAACAGTTTGTTGATTTCTTGGAGAGACCTTCCAACAAGTATCAAAGCCATTACGGGTGTTAGAAATCATAACCAACACTCTGGATTGAGCACAGAAATGTACGAAGAGCAAGATCAAATTTACTAGTCCACGTAATCAATCTGGCTGCCGTATTTTGGACCTGCTAAAAGTTTCTGCACTGTTTTCAAGAGCTGCCCTATATAAAGAGCATTACAGTAGTCCATTTTTGGATTGTCGATGTGTGAAGTACTGCACTGTTGCTAAGTATTTCTTACCTAAGCAGTGGCACAACTGGCAATCAACCAAAGCAGACACAGCAGGTATTTGAGTCTCCATAGAGAGTGCAGAGTCCAAGAGTACACCCAAGCTACATCCCCAATCCTTTGGAAGTCAAAGCAGATCAGACAGATGGCTGTCCAATTTTCTCCTGAATGCCTCCAGGGTTGGAGTGCTCACCACTTCTCAAGGTAATTGGTTCCACTGTCATATTGTATTAACAGGAATCATTCCTAATATTCAACCAAAATCTGGTTTCCTGTAGCTTGAGCCCATTGTCATGCACTCTGGGATGATTCAGAACAGATCCTGCCCCTCCTCTGTATTTTAAAAGTGCTATCATATCTCATTTCAGTCTTCTTTTTTCAAGCTAAACATGCCCAGTTCTTTCAGTCTTTCCTCATAGGGGTTGGTCTCCAGTCCCCTGATCATCCTTACTGCCCTCCTCTGAACTTACTCCAGTTTGTCAGCATCTTTCTTAAAGTGTGGAGTCCAGAACTGGACACAGTATTCTAGATGAGGCATAACCAGTGCTGAATAGGGGGCAAATAGTACCTCATGGGATTTGGAGACTATACTTCTGTTAATGCATCCTAAAATAGCATTTGCCTTTTTTGCAGCCACATCACATGAATCTTCTCTCAGTTATCTGGTTTTGTGTACAGTGGTGCCTTGACTTATGAACTTAATTTGTTCCAGAACTCCGGTCGTAACTCAAAATGGTTGTAAGTTGAAGCACCATTTCCCATAGGAATGCACTGAAATGCAATTAATCCATTCCGGCCGAAGGGGAAAAAAAATCACATACACACAAAATCACTGTAAGACCCTTCGGAAATTCAAAAAAAGCGAAGTGGAAAGCAAGCAAGACCCCTTGGAAATGCAAAAAAAGCAAAGCAAAAAGCAAGCAACGGAGGGGCACGTTTTCCACAGAAGAGTGGTCTTGCAGCAAGTAGGGCTTGAAACCTCCGAATTTCAGATGGCGGTCTGTTTTTTGGAACAGTTTCCTTCCTATGGAGCAACTGACTCAATGAGGCACCGTAAGGGTGAGCAAGCCGCCAGGAGTGGGGAGGCATGAAGATTTATGTCTGACTGCATGAACAGAGACTAATTGACCCTAACACAGCTTCAGCAAATATAAATTAAACTAAGAGGCTGATTTTAAAGAAGACAGTGTAATTTCAAAGCGGCAAATAAGCTTTTAAGCCCAGAATCATCGTAAATGATTACCGCGTCACGCCTGAAACAGAAACAGAAACCAGATAAAGATACGGATACAGATAGAGACTTCTTTCTCTCTCATCCCCTGTACTCTGACAGATGGAATAACTTTTACAATATAAAATTAAAAGTCTAAGGAGGCTGAGAAATTTAAGCAATCTTGAACTGTGCTGAGAGAGGTGGATTATAAATTAAACGGATTTTCATCATGGCTGGATCTACAATTGGAGCTGTGTAGTGAAAGTTGGAGCCTGGGCTAGCATAATAAATTACAAGCTGTACTGAGCAATTGACTTTTATTACTTAATTACTTTATGACTTTTGGTCGGAGGAAAGAATAAACAAGCTGATTTGGTGAGCTTTTAGGAGAAAATAGAAGAATTTTTTTTCTCTGTGACAGAAAGCGTTTTTGTATGTGAGATTCATATTCAGGAACCAGAGAGTACGCTGCCCAACTCAAAATGGAGGAATATGTCAAGAACGCTTTACAGGAGTGCCAAATAAACATTGTTAATTACATGACGGCCCAGATTGCTGAAGTGAAGGCGTTGTTCTCAGGATGGATTGGAAAAGAAAAGGATCTGAAGACACCAGTCCAGACTATCGAAGCAGAGGCAGCCCCAGAGAGAATGACTTTATCTGTTGTTAGGAAGGAGGGTAAAACCCCCAAAAAGGAGGCCAGAATAACGAACTTGTATGGTGAGAGGGAGGGTCAGGTGGATGAAGGAGGGATGCATATAAAAGAAAAGATTACTCCAAAAATAGATATTAATTTGATGGGAGAACACTCAAAGCAGGGAAGTGGGAAGGCGAAGCTGGAAGGGCAACAAAATGTTGATTTTACAGACTAGATACTGTTTGGATTCAAAGGCAGAATATGATTGATAGAGGTAAATCAGAGAGAAAATGACTTAAAGAGATTTTATAGATGGCACTTCAAAGCTGGTAAAAAGAATGCAAGAAATTAATTCTAGGTTTACAAGGCTATAAGTAATCTGAGATCCCTGGTCTATACATAGAGCTGAGAAATATAACAAAAACTGGTTGAATGTTTTAAATGGTTGAAAAGTGCATATAATCTTTTAAATTACAATATGTATCTTGAATATGATTGTTTAGAAGTTATTAATGACAAGATAGAAATATAAAGATAAGTAATTCATGAATCATAGTTTGACTATGCAGTTAAGGTTTCACATATAGATATCCTATCGTTTCAACACTTAATTGGATATAATAAGGATGCTGGAATACAATTATGATATAGCATTATGTTGACTTTCACGTTTTATGGGTAATAGATAAGCATATGAAAATCTTAAACTAGAATGTCTTATGTTAAATATAACAATAGAATTGTTTGAATAAAAGATCAATATAGGTCTAAGTTTATATTTTAGATAATGTACGTATGTTAATCATTATAGTTAGGAAGTCACATTTTGATCTTAATAATGGTCTAAATATGTTAGTAGGGTAATATGGTTTATGTAGTCAGAATTGTATACTACGTAGATGGACATATGGAAATTATCACCCCGCATATATGTTTGTGTTTGTCATGTATGTTGTTTGTGTCTTGTATTAAAAAATGGCAAAAAAAATAGTAAAAACTGTTGGATCACTTAGTTGTTTAGTATCTAAACTTTTTGTTTTTACTTTTTTGCATTTTCTTCAATCTGAGGCAAACTACAATGAGGACAAGAATATGATTTAAACTGATGGCAGCTCTAGAATAAATTTTCATTAACATAACATTGTTTCAGAAACTCTAACTCGTATAGTTAACCAGACTTATTTGGTTCCTTATAGAATTCTAATTTAGGATACTCCAGTGCAAGCTTACAAGGAGGGAAACTGGTAACAGAATTAGAGAAGTAAATTTTTCTATTAAGTCCCAGGAATATTTCAGAATTGGACTTTAACTCTTCTGAATTACTTAAGTTCCCAGTTAACTTGTGAGTAACACCTCTTCAAATATTATCTACCCGCACTGACATATGAAGTATTCCCCCACAGCAGGCTTATAAGCAGTAATCATATGTTTATTTAAAAAAGCTCTTCAAGATACAGACCTGAAAGTCTTCTACAAATAACTAAAGAAAACGTGTGATACAATTAATCCAATGGCGGCAAACCTTTTTGGGCTTGCATGCCCAAACTGGGGGGCAGGAAACAGCGGGCGGTGTGCCGCCGCCGTGACAGCGGTGGCAGCGGACTTGGAGAACCTGAAACCGGAAGTGGCGGTGGAAGGGGGAATCACAGCATGGAGGTGACTCTAGACCCCTCCGCTGCCAGCACCAGCTGCTCCGGATCTGCCTGCCGAAGCACCATCACTGGCTGCAGCTGCCTCCTGAGGTTTGGCTGCATTGGGGGGGGGGGAGTAGTGATCTGGTGACCTATGGCTTGCGTGTCAGCAGAAAGGGCTCCACATGCCAGTTGTGGCACATGTGCCATAGGTTGACCATTGCTAAATTAATCTATAAATCTGTGAAGTGGGTAGAAGAAAGTAACATTGTGAGCCCTGAGCAAATTGAGTTCTGAATGGTGTCCTCTACTTTGGTCCACCTGTTAGCATTAAAAAGAGAAATATTCTGAACATCAGTTGACTAAATTACATTATATTCATACTGATTTTAAGTTAGCTTTCAATCTTAAGTGGATACAATTCTCATTCACAGGTATAACATTAGCAGGCTAAATGCATTGTCTCTTACCAGAACTTGGCATGTGGTTAACTCTGGCTGGATTTAACAATTCTACTGGCTGGTCCCTGCCCGAAAGTCCATCTGAAAAGAGAAAGAAGTTCACCTAATGTTAGTAGATCAATCAGGTTAAAGCTCAGTGGAATTATGATGAAATAGCTAGTTGAACACTAGAAAACACAGAAAGAACAGTCAACTGAACAACAGGTTACTCACCTGTAATAGTAGTTTTCCAACTGGACCTGTGAATCACACCCTGGATAATCCACGCCTGTGCAGAGCTTCGTCGGAAGATTCTAGAACTTCTGCAGTAGCAAAAAGACACATTAGTGTAGATCCATCCCACTCCGTATATGTATCTTGGCGCCAAGACTCTCCCTTTAGTTAGGTCAACCGCCATATAATAGAGCTGCATGGCATGACAGTGGGGAAGTAAGGTCAGGATGAGTGAATCACAGAGGTCCACTCGAAGAACTACAATTACAGGTGAGTAACCTGTCGTTCTTCTTCGTGGCTTCTGTGAATCACACCCTGGGTGACTAACAAGCTGTCTTACCTGGAGAAGGGTGTCACACCAAGGTAGAAGCTAGGACAACACGTCCAAAGGCTGCATCAGATTTTTGTCAAACATCCAATCTATAGTGCTTGATGAATGTGGATGGCTTTGACCAGGTGGCAGAGGCACAAACATCCAGAATAGGAATGCCATGAAGAAACGCCATGGAAGCTGCCACTGCCCTAGTGGAGTGAGAGCGAATGACCTGAGGAGCTGGCCTTCTAACAAGCTGGTATGGCAGGTAGATGGTTGAAGCAACCCATTTGGAGATTCTTTGTGATGTCACCTGTAAACCTTCGCAGGGAGCTGGGAGCTGACGAAAAGTCAAGCTGCTCATCAGAAGGGTTGTGTGTGGACTAAATAAAATGCTAGAGCCCTCCTGACATCCAGGGTATGGACTCTTCCTTGAGAAGTAGATGAAGATGGAAAAAAAGATGCTAAAACCAAGGGTTGGGACATGAAACTGGGAAACAACCTTGGGGAGAAAGGAAACATCTACAAATAACTTGATCTTATCTGGATAAAATTGGAGATAAGGATAATCAGACCGCAGGCCATGAACTCACTGGCACGCTGACCAGACATGATAGCAACAAGGAAAGCTTATCTTAAAGGTAACTAGTGTAAGATCAACTGAAGCCAAGGGCTCAAATGGGACCTTAGTAAGTTGTTGCAGGACTATTGTCAAAGACCATTGAGGTGAAGGTGGATAGACGTCTGGATACAAGTGTGATAAACCCTTAAGGAAGTGCTTCAGAGTAGGGTGTCTGAAGAACTGAGCTGCTGAAGAGGTTGGTGGCTGATAAGAAATGACTGCAGCATGATAAAGCCTCAAGGAGGAAAGGGATAGGTCCTTGGTTTTAAGATGAAGCAAAAAAACAAAGGAGGGTAGAGGGGGAGGGATTGACCAAAGGTAGTGTAGAGGCTTCAGTGAAGGGTTGAAATTTCTTCCATTTGTAGATATAAGCTCTCCTAGTTGAGGGTTGCTTCACCTAATGGAGGACATTCATCAGGGAGGCAGAATCTTCCACGCTGCCAGGTGCAGAGCAGGCAGGTCTGGGTAGAGAATCTGCATTTTGTTCTGCGAGAGCAGGTGAGGCAAGCGGGGCAGGTGATAAATGTCTGATGACAGATTGTGGAGAACCGGGAACCAGGGTTGTTGTTGCGGCCAACATGGAGCTATCAGGATAGCATTGGGTTCGTTTTGTTGGAGGCAGACTACCACCTTGTGGAGCAGGAATGGTGGAAACAAGTAAGTAAGGGTTCTGGGCCAACGGCTGATGAACGCGTCACCGTGAGAGTTCTTGCTGACTCCTGCATGGGAAAAGTAGCATTTGCACTTTTGATTTGTCCAGGAGGCAAAGAGGTCAATGGTGGGAGTGCCCCAGCGTGAGCAGAGAAGGAGAAAGATGAACAGGTCTACTTCCCACTCATGAGCTTGAGATTCCTTAAGACTGAGGAGATCTGCCAGATTGTTGTCTTGGTTGGATATGTGTATTGTAATGCAGATATGATGTGGCAGACACCATTCCCATAAGTTGAATGTGAGATACAGAAGGCTCGGAGAGTGAGTGCTGCCCGGCTTGAGAATGTAATACATTGCAGTAGTGCTGTCGGTGGAAATTTGCACCATTTTGCCGACAAGATGGTCTCTGAAAGCCTTGCACGCTTTTATTACTGCTAACAATTCTAGTTCGCTAATATGAAGGAGTTTCTCCTGTTTTGACCACAGGGCATGAATCTTTAGAGATTTGCAATGAGCGCCCCAGCCTGTAAGGCTGGCATCAGTAGTGACGTATTTAAGGTCGTGGCTGTTAGAAGTGTCATCCCATTGTAAGGTTTTGAGTGAAGTGCCACCAAGGAAGTTGGGCGGCCAGTTCCAGAGCAACCCATAATAGAGTGTGAGGAGGGTCCATTAATGGGTTGAAGAGGGCAAGGAACCACACCTGGAGTGACCTCATTTTGAGGCATACTTGTTGCACTACAGATGTCATGGATGTAGTGATTCCAAGGACACAATGAACTGTCAATGAGGATACAAGCACATAAGGGGTGAAGATGCAAAGCAAGGATGTCAAATTGTATCACTTCTCCGTTGAGAAGAACGCTCGGGCAAGAGTGGAGTCTATGAGCACCCCTATGTACTGGACAACCGTTGTGGGCTGCAACTTGGACTTTTGTATGTTTACAGCAAGTCTTTGCGACGAACGAGCTACAAGGAGCCAGTCGTCGACGTACGGAAAAATGTGGGTCTTGTTAAGTTTGAGGTAAGCTGCTACGGGGCCATGTATTTGGGGAAGACTCTGGGAGTGAGTCCAAAGGGGAGTCTTTTGAATTGGTAGGCAGGGGTTCCGAGCTAGAAGTAGAGGTAAGGCTTGTGAGAGAGATGGATGGATACATGGGGAAAGGGGTCTCTTAGATCTATGACTGTGAACAAGTTGTTTTTTCCAGAACAGACTCGAGGGTAACCATACAGAATTTGGTGGTAATGATGTAGTGATTTAGCTCTCTGAGGTCGAGGATGGGACGGAGGTCTCAGTCTTTTTGGGGGACGATGAAATGGTGAAAGAAAAAACCTCCGTTTGGTATACTGGTTCTATGGCATCTTTGAGAAGTAGGGACTGTATTCTGTCTTGCAGGGTTTGCAATGGAGGTGCGACAGTATGCGATGGCAGAGAGAGCTGATGGAACTGGATGTGGTACCCGCTTCGGACGATGGACAGGACCCAAGCATCCATGGTAATAGTGTTCCATGCAGGTAAGTGTTTCCAAAGGGTAGGAGGAGAAATATGATGTGTTGAGATCTCAGCCGGCTGGATGTCAAACATGATGTTTATTTTTACTATCATTGCGCCTACTTGTGGTTTGCTGAGGTGATTTCACCCTGTAAGGTTGTTGTTTGAAATAAGATGTATAAGAAGTTTCCCTCTGATGTTCCTGATGGAACTTTTGGTAGGGATTGTAGGGGCGCTTCCATTGGGTGCGCTGGGGGCGTTGCTGGTATGAAGGGTAGACACCCCCCAACATCTAGCAGCTGTTCTTTTCTTTTGAACATTTTCAAGAATGTCATCTGTCTCTGCATTAAAAAGCCCTGTCCCGTCAAAGGGGAGGTCCTCAATGCATGCTCTTGCATCTTCAGCGAGGCCAGCAGTTCTTAACCATGAAAAACAACGAAGGGCTATGGAGGTAGCCATGGATTTAGCCGTAGCCTCAACAGCATGCCTGGCTGACAGCATTTGCTGTTTGGAAACTGAGAGCCCTTCTTGTTGGAAGGTTTGAGCCACAACTTTTTGTCCTCAGGAAGTGCTGCAATAAAGGGGGACATGTTGTCCCAGAGGAAACACTGGTAGGCCCCTTTGGCTCCTTGGTATTTAGCAACTCTCATAATGAAGGCAGAGGAAGAATAAGGCCATCTACCCAGAGAGTTGGATCCTCCTGCTGTCCTTATTGGGTGTTATGAGGATCTGATGATGCTGCGATCGAGACTGGGAAGCTTCTACAAACATCAAGTTCGAGGCTGGTTGTTTTTGAAGGAAAACTGCTCCCAGATCGTGAACTCAGTAAAGGTTGTCAATGCTCTTTTGACATCGAGTAGGATGAAGCCGGTTTTGTCCATGAACGCTGAGCAGTGCTAAGTAGGGACGGTAACATGGAAATGTGAACTGGAATTGTTGTGTCCTTAGAGATCGGATTGTAGAGATGATCTGCAGGCTCAGTTGAAGGTCTGTGTATCTGGAGATCCAGGGACTTAGCCATGTGTACCATTAATTGAGCGTAAGTTTGAAAATCCTTGGCTGAAGATGGGAGATCGGCATCTGCCAAGTCAGACTCAGGTGAAGTCAGCAGGATGGATGGTGTTTGTGGTCTGGAGCCTTGTTCTGAATGATTCTGATCGTGTGAAGAGTCCATGGATTGACAATCAACATCAATATTGAGTGGCTGCACCTCAAAGTATTGGTGTCGATGTCTATGTCGAGGCTGCATCCCTGGACATTGATCGGACCCGAGGATCGTCCACCAGCAATGATGTCGATGGAGTGTTCATGAACAAAGGTCGATATCGATATCAGAACCGGTATCACGATGGTGATGAAATGGAGACTTGGATAGTGGTCAATATTGAGGATTGTCGATATTGGAGCCCATATCTCAGTGTTGTTGTTGAGGTGGCAAATGCGTCGATGGACCGCACTGGATAGCTGTGGAATAGGTAGATGATGGTGATGCCAAGTGGGACATACTGGGTCTTTTAGGTGCTGGCTGATAGGCAGTCTGTAGCCCTTGACAATCTTGATAATGAGATCATTTCGACATCTACAGCTGCTATGAATAAGGTTTCTGATGTCGCACTGCCGCCAAATTGGAAAGAGGAACTGGTTTATAATGCTTGGCAAGCTTTCCAGTCGAGCACTGATCAGGGGAGGATGTGAGCTGATCCACCTGCTCTTCCCATTCTGGTGATTGTGGTGGATATGGTTGACGGGATGGGAGCCCTTATTCACCTGAGGGTGAGCCCATGCAAATTAAA